AGGATTACAATTTAAATCAAGGAGATATATTAGTCTTTAACAAAGACAATATATCAGAAATCCCACATACTTGGAAGAGTAACAGCAACTTGCAGCATTTCACTGTATTAGATGTTGGTTACGCTCCAACGGGTTACATACGCGAGCTTGATACTGATGTTCAAGAGAATTCATCGACAAACGAATAACAGAGGAACGAACATTGAACTGTCATACATTTTCATCTTCTTTTCACCATTGATTGTTCATTTTGTGTCATACTTGAAAAAATACCAGTTTCTATTGTCTTTGAATGAAAGATAATTAAAACGTGATTTTTTTACTAGATAGATATGTATTCAATAAATATTCAGAACCATATTGTTGACAAAGCTGTCATAAAAGGATCTAAGTGTTGATCAGCATGTATGACAAAATAATACTAAAAAAAGAGTTAAACAAAGAACGGTGTGGGTGGTGTGGGTGTGGGGTGCGGGTGTGGGATTTCTGATATATTGTCTTTGTTAAAGACTAATATATCTCCTTGATTTAAATTGTAATCCTTCGGATTGTAATAGGGATCTTCCAATATTCCATACACAATATTATCAATAATTTGTATAATATTAAAATACCATGCACCACCGCCATTGTCAACTTGATTACCATCGATTAGTATCTTTTCCAAACAACATCTCACTGTATTACCCACTTGTAATGAAGACAGAACAGCATCACCATCTTCAAACAATGTTCCTGACCATGACATTGGTTTTGGAATTTTCCTAAATTTATATGTATACTTTTGAAAATCATTCATATGATTCAGATCTAATGGTAAATAATGAATATTTTCTAAATTAATATGAATTATATCACCATTTTTCAAATATCTACTTTCAGTATTATTATTATTGTAACCGTACGATGAATAACATGTCGAAATACAATCATCATATCGATCAAATTGTGGATAATACGGATTTGTCTCATATTCCATATATTCTCGTGCACTCAATATACCAACAATTATTTGATAGATATTATTCAACGGTATATAATCATTGATATATTTATTGTATAAATCTTGACATAGAATATTTTTATTTAGTAAACAATTCAATGCATTTAAATCATGTTCTGTTGGATTTTTATTGATTCGACTTAACAGTAATTCATCAATCCAAATTTTATCATCATTTTCATATTTTTTGTCTTCGTCAGAATAATTTGTTTGTGTAAAATAAGATATTAAATCACAATCCATTGTTATATTATCATTAATCATTTTTTTTATGTATTTTGAATGTACAAAATACGGTGTACTTTTAGTATCATGTAGAAAAAATGGAACATTTGAATTGCTATTTGATAGAGGATTGTTAATAACTGTAACTGTGACTTTACTATCATCACAAATATTAATAATTTTCACAAATATTTCTTCTTTTCTTCGTACATAGACATGTTGTGTATGTTTGCTAATAATGTTTTCATCGTCTACTTGAACTTGTTCTTCGTTTTTGTCTGATGATGTGATTGTAACAATTTTTCCAATAAAATCTTTTTTATTAAGAAATAGAGATAATGATAAACATTGACCATCCAAATTAATTGGATGTTGATATCGATCGAGTTCATACATTGGAAGATGAAAGTTTACAAATGTTTCAAATAACCTAAATATTTGTCAATAATGTAAAATAATTTTAGAATAGTGCTTAGCACTAATCAGATGGGATTAAAATGTGGAATACGAATGAAGTCGATTTAATGGAAACGAAAATGTCTTCTTACTAGTATTTTTTTCTAGGTCAGGCTGTATGAATTCACTTTACTTCCTAGTTTCTTCAACACTGATAACCAATTATACTTTACAAAATTATAAATTTGTAATACTTTGCTCAGTGGACTGCTTTCTGTAAAACTATGAAATAGTTCTAAAATAAAGTATAAGAAGGGGTCTATAATTGTAATATATTGGAATTTTAATTATCTATGTTAACTCACCTCTTTCTCTGAAGAAACTCTTGATTATCCTAGAGTGGATTTATTCTAATTAAGGTCAATTTTATCGATATTCGAGTACTACTGAAAAGTTTTAAAATCTTTTTCAAAACTTCAAAATGTATCTTCCTTGATGAATTCTACAAAATTGCGTGCAACTTTAGTATCTTCGATATCTAAATGCTTGCTATTATAAATGTTGAAGAAACAATATACTTTTTAAGCATTTCCCAACTGCCTCTGTACTATTTAAATCCGATGAAATCAAAATACTAGGAGAATATAAGACGATATCATCGGTCAAAAAAATCTCTTCTGTATACTTACGTGTGATAGTACAACGATCGAATGTTGGTGAATAGAAAATACTTGAAAGAAAGATAGTTTTCTAAAAGATATTTGATGAATATGACTAAAATATTACATTCCTTTATATTCTATGTTGTTGTTGTTTTTCTACCACTGTCATCATGTCATCATGGTATTGCGCAACATATGAATAAGAACAAAGACGAAAAACAATCTTATTTAGAGGATACTTACGCCAGTAACGTTAGTATAATATTTGACAAATATACGAAGTAATCTACGCACTATTGCTCAATAAGGGTGTGGGTGTAGGTTTGTGACAAAACAATATCCACACCCTCTTGTGTTTCAAATACATTCAACATTTGATCAAGTAAATGTCATTGTGCAACATTGATTATCTCAAATATTAATATTTGAAGGTCTTTTGTGTAAAAAAGACATTTCGTTATGATTTATTATTAGAAGATATCCTTAGAAAGAGAAAATGTTGAAGAAGAATGAAAGTAGACAGAAAATTAAAAGTTAAAAAAAAGACTTTGTGGTTTTCATTTAGAAAAGTACAAATATATTTACTATCTTGTTTTGTTTTAACAGAAGCTTACGAATGAACGCTTGTAAGTGTCAAATCGCTTGTTATTCAGGACTACGTACATATAATGAGCTATGAATATTCTAAAAAGAGTTGGGGCGAATAAATTACTACTACCAAGAGACTGTATTATTTAGAGAAATGCCGTTCCGGATGATAAGTTTACATAGAAATCGAAGAAAATAAGTCTCATTACTTGTCACATTTCAAATGTGTAGCTCAAGATTCATGTATAGGTATTGTGTTATTCATTGTCTTCCACTATGATATATTAAATTAAATTTCAAGTCTTCAATTACCTGATTATGAAAAATGCGCATTATCTATCTTTTTGAACAAATGACCAAGCTGCTTAAAGATCTTAATCGTCGCCCAATTAATTACCAAATACCTTGAGTTTCAAAAAACCTTTTTGGATTCTTTTTTGTTAGCATATATCACTCAGTGTTCCTGTAATTTATTGCGCAAATAATGTCATTGAATAAGTTCTAAATTTCAAGTATTTTGATATTATGCCTGAAGTTATATATGAGGTTTTATTTTTCACTTTGATCACATGATGTCAGAAATTCATAAGAGCATTACATTATTTAAATAGTTATCGACCATTGGTATGTTATCAAAAGAAATTTCTCGTAGATTATATGATGTATGTGTTTGCCCACGCTAACAATCGATTTTGATTATTTATCCGATTTTATCTAAGACTAAGAGTGAACAGCTGGAAGGCTTAAATCGAAAAATATTTCGCATTATAGATAGATGTTATTATGTTAGAACTGATAAAATAACCAGCCGAAACTACTCACATATCTACATTTCATAAAATTATTATTTACAATTATGTGTAGTAATCCATCGTTCATTACTGATTTTAGTCATCAAAAATTATAAAGATTGTTCTCAAAAGAGTATCATCTAAATATTGCTCTTTCGACGGAAAAGGGCAAGATTATGAGCAACAGAAGAACATTAAATCGTATACGTCAGTTACTGACGTCTTGTAACCATTCATATTTGATTTCTATTGTGTTACCTCACTCTGGCTTCCCTTCTTTTTTTCCAAATTTTCTATTATTTCTTCATCCTCTTATGATAAATAAAACGATATGTTGTCATCGATAGATTGTTCTCAGGTCTCTGTGAGAATGAAACAAACGAACAATCTGATTGTTATGATCAATACTTAGTCAAAGTATGAGTTGTATGTCGGCATTATTTCAACTTCATGGATTTGTTCAGCGAATATTTTGGCATGTACTACTTGTGATAGGATATTTTAATACTCGTTGTCTGAAGTCATTATAACTGATCGGATGACTAAAGTTTCACTAATGGCGAAAGTCTATTGTACTGTCGCAATCTGTCACGAAACGATATAAATAAAGGATTCGTGTGACTGCTGAAGCGAATATTGTTAGAATGTGTGTATATCACAACTTACACTAAGGGTGTGTTTCAATATGAGTGAGTCATATTTTTAATAAGAGAAAAGTGAAATTCGTATGAAAAAAAAAACAGTTAAAGCATAGAATAATGTTCATCGCCAAATGAACCTGATAACTCTAATTTGGAAACATCATTATTATTTTTCTTTTCTTTTCCTTTCCTCCACAACAGACCGATTTGCCAACAAATATGAGCAAGAGACTTGATTGTATCTACTAACGATCTGCTAGTGATTGAAGATATTGCATCTAAACATTGTTTTGTAAAACATAATGATGATACGTTGACCGTTGTTTTAGTTCTATCTAAATCAAAATCTATAGTCTCTTAGATTCTATTAAATAATGAGATTAGCTTTGTAATAAATATTACTGTACATTTGCTTTTTAACGACAAAAACGTTTCATTGATAATATTTATTATCATAGAAAACTTTGAGATAAAGCTTCTTTTAAAGATATTTTTCAATTGATGCTTTCATGATTTATAATGCATAATTTGTTAATTACTAAATTCACTGTTCGGCCATTTCTTGCGTTTTATTCTGTACAAATAATAATGATACTTGATATTTGATGATTATGTTTCTACTTGTTGTCTTTACTGCAAATAGTCATAATTTCACATTGATAACAGTCATAAACTCTATTATGGCAAACAATATAAAAGAAACTCTGTCTAAAGCAAAGACAATTTTATTACAGTCATACAAAAATCAAACTACTTCCTTTGAAATTTATCATCATGTGCATTACAAAATTAACTACTGCATATGTCTTTCTTCTACTTGTAGGAGTTGCTATATTAGTAGTAATTTCAATTGCATTAAATGCTGCTACTCTTGGTGTAATTAATAAACGGTTTGATGAAATTAAAAATGAGAATGGTCAAACGACTAGTAAAACAACGGTTTCAGCAGGACCAATAACGACGAGTACAACTCGACCACCAATCAGTTTTAATTTGGTTGATTCAATTCGTATTGAAGATCTAATGAACCATCTTAATGAGTTACAACGTATTGCAAATAATACTGGCAATACTCGTGCTATTGGAACTCGTGGGTTTACAGAAACAGTTAATTATATCTATAATTATCTAGCTAACAATGCTTCTGGTTTAAAGGTTTTTCGAGAACCATTATCAGTACAGAATTTTACAATTAAAGGAAATCCAATATTGATATCATCTATCAATGATATGAATAAAACTTACACTTATTCAACTAATTTAGCAAGATCCGATTTCACTTATGTCAATTACTCAGCTTCAATTGATTTGACAAAATTTAATTTAATAATCGTTCCTAATTATGGATGTGATAAACTTGATTGGCAAAATGTAGCAGGTCGAGCAGCATTAGTTGTAGTAGGAGGCACATGTACTAATGCAGAAAAAAGTGAATTAGCCAATATATATAATGCATCGGCTTTGTTGTATTATAATCACGGCTTGACAACTACGAGTCTTGCACCTGTTATTGTACGTCTTCGTCAAGCAAATAAATTGCCAGCACTCTTTCTTTCTTATGCGATTGGACAAGAATTAGTAAATGCAGCTAATTTATCAAATGTGAGTATTTGGCTCGATGTTCAACGTGAAAATTAGTCATCATTCACCATTGAAAATGTCTGGGCTGATACAATAGACGGTAATATTAATGAAACCATTATTGTGGGTGGTCATAGCGATAGTGTACCTGCGGGACCAGGAATTAATGATAATGGTTAGTATTAACTTTCACTTTACCACTTTGTATTTTCTCCGATATTTTACAACTATACTCAAATAGTTGCTCATATTCATATTAAAATTTATAATTTCTTTAATAATTATAGTTTCAAGTTCAAAAGTTGCATGCTCTCTTCACCATGAAAAATGTACGAGAAAATCTCTTGTACTACCTAATTTGACTGCTTCATTATAAAAGATAAATGTATTGCACATAGAATATAGAAAAAGCAAACCATGACTGATAGAGAAATAGATAAGCGTGTGCCTTCTAGAATTCGATATTAATTGTGGATATCAAAATTCTCTTAAATTCCATAGATAAATTACAGATTCTTTAAACTTTCGTTCTGTAACTTGATAGAAACATATAATGGTGAACATCAGTTTAGAGCAGCTATATTTTTAAGTTTTCTTCTCGATGGTAAAAATCTTAAAAATACCGCTGCTCTAAATTTTTGTCCACTATTCCATGTCTTTTAAAAATTGATCTTTCAATTAGATCTTTTAGTATTAAGGGCTTTGTTTGTTCCTAAAACTAACATTTTCATTTTTCAATCATTCAGGTAGCGGAACAGCAGCTATTCTAGTTTTGGCGACGAATTTGGCTCGTCTCTATCAATCTGGAAATTATACTAAGTATAGATATCGTGTTCGATTCTGTTGGTGGGCTGCTGAAGAAATCGGACTTGTTGGAGCAATTCATCATGTTCAACAAGCTCAAAGTCCATTTGCTTCTTCTGACTGTCGTCTTCAAGATTATCTAATTAATCTTAACTATGATATGCTTGGATCACCTAATTATATGTTGGGTATTTATAATGGTAGCTCAGCAAAACCAGATACTCCGTCACAGGCAATCAATGGCAGTATTCGAATCACTGAAGTATTCCGTAACTGGTTTAATGGAAAAAATTTACCATGGGACTATACTGATTTTAGTGGTCGAAGTGATTATGGCCCATTTTTAGCAGCAGGTGTGGTCGCAGGTGGGCTTTTTTCCGGAGCTGATGAGACCAAAACATCTGAACAACGTACTAGATATGAAGAAAAATTGGGTCAAGGTCAAGGTGGTTTGGTAGGTGCAATTCTTGATCCTTGTTATCATAGAGCATGTGATACAACTGATAATATTAATCAACTGGGTTATGAAAAGATGGTTCAAGCAGCAGCGTATATGCTCGAATTCTTAGGCCAAAAAGATGATTTGATGACATGGTTGTATCCAAATGGACGACCAAAACCTCGATTACCAGATGAATATTTTCCTAATAGTGATTACTTTCGAAATATTGACATTTAGTTGAAAAGTTACATATGACATTAATGAGCAAAATATCTTTGTTTTTTTCGGATAATTATTGGATTTAAGGAAATATTTTTCATAAAGAACAAGATAATTTCAAAGTAAAAGATCATAAGAAAAACTTGAAAAGTTGGTGTTGCTGAGCTCTGTATGCTTTACTTTTTAGTATTTAAATCGAATTTATTATTTTCAGCAGTTTTAAATATATAAAGTGATCAATATCATATGAGCACATTGAAAACTGTCATGAAAATACTTGGGATTCAACGGCAGATTTTGATCAATTTATATGAATGTAAACTCAAAAAAGGTCGTTGTCATTTAAGCAAAGATGCATTAGTGATAAATTTGTCCAGTAACCAACGGATGTAGGCATTCATGACTCATCCTAGTGTGTATGATGCACACAAGATCGACACAAAAAAGACTAATTAGTTGTAGTACTTACCGTATTAGACAAAAGACGCAATAAAAAGATACAACTATGAATCTCAAATCTTCTTCTTTTCTCTCTTGGATAAATATCATATTCATGTTCATAGTAGAAATTACAGTAACATCATTCAATCTAGAAAGACATAATCTTTACTAATATTCTTTATTAAGTGTTATTGTTGAATAACATTTCTTGAAAGCAACAACAAAATACGACATTTACCAATCATTGCGTTTTTTTACTAATCTTTTTCTCAAATGTCAAACATTGACATTGCTTTCAATATCACCTTTATATTTCACTTTTCATTGTGTTTTGATTGATAAAACACAAATAAACATGTTATCAAACCAAGTCTTTCACGTCGAGAATGGCAATAACGTTTCTAAAAAAATTAAATTTACAAAATTTATGATGTTCATCCTTGGTTTTGCAGCCGTGCTTGGAACAATTATTATTGCACTTTCTATCGCTACTCTTGTTAAAGTTAACAAAAAATTTCACGAGATTCAAAACAACAGTGAAAAACCAACGATCAGTTCAAAAGCAATTCAACAATCATTTGACTCCGTTTTGGGTACATCTATCCGTATTGATGAAGTGATGAGCTATCTTAATGAGTTTCAACGTATTGCCACGGCTTCTAATGGAACTCGATCTGTCAATACACCTGGATTTAATGCTACATTGGATTATATCAACAACTATCTAACTGCTAATACGAATTACAAAATAACAAAGACTTTTTTCTACTTGAGAGATTTTGCACTTGCAAGTAATCCAATTCTAATTTTATCAATTAATGGTGTCAAAAAAAACTACACTTATTCAACTAATCTTTCCATTGCTGAATTTTATCATGTCAAATATTCAGCTTCGGCCAATTTATCCAACAATATGCAACTTACAGTTATTCCAAATGTAGCCTGTTCAGATGATGATTGGTTAAAAGCAAGTCTACCTCCTCAAGGTCGAGTAGCACTAGTCAAACGTGGAATATGTGCGTTTCAAGATAAAGCTATACTTGCTGCTAAATATAATGTAGCTGCACTTTTGCTATATAATGACGGTACATTACCTGATCGTGTTTCACCTTTGGAAGTTAATCTTGCTCAAAATAATGCTCTACCTGCTCTCTTTCTTTCATTCACTATTGGTCAAGCCCTTGTAAATGCAGCTCAAAACGCATCAATAAATACTACTGTACAATTAGTTATTAATGTGAAAGACCTACCTAACTTTCCTGTAGGAAATATTTGTGCTGATACTCCAACAGGTAATGTTACACAGACTATTGTCATTGGTAGTCATAGTGATAGTGTACCAAATGGACCAGGCATTAATGACAATGGTAAGTTTACTATTCACATAATACTTCTTATATCACTTTCTTCCATTACAGGTAGTGGTAGTGCAGCCAATCTAGCTCTAGCTGTTGCTCTTGCTCGTCTTTTTCGAACATCAACGTATCCCAAATATAAATATCGAGTACGATTTTGTTGGTGGGGTGCTGAAGAACTAGGTCTTCTTGGTGCAGACTTCCATGTCAAACAAGCGAAAAATTCTTCTATTATTGGTGAACGTCTTTCAGATTATTTAATTAACCTTAACTATGATACGATTGGTTCACCTAATTATATGTTGGGTATTTATGATGGCAGTACAGCTAGAAATGATACACCATCACAAGCACTTGTTGGTAGTAACAAACTTACAGATTTATTTCGAGATTGGTTTATTCGACAGAACTTACCATGGGATTATAGAGATTTGAGTGGTCGAAGTGATTATGCTCCATTTTTAGCAGAAGGTATCGTTTCAGGTGGACTCTCTTCTGGCACAGATGGTATCAAAACACAAAAACAACGTGATCGATATGATGAAATGCTTGGTCAAGGCTTGGGAGGTGTTGCAGATATTATGTATGATCCTTGTTACCATAAAGTTTGTGACTCGATACAAAATATTAATTTGTTTGGTTATGAGAAAATGGTGAAAGCAGCTGCTTATGTTTTAGAGTTTCTAGGTCGAGAAGACGATTTAAAAACGTGGCTTTATCCATCCACTAGTTGAATGCTTGATTACATCAACCACAAAGAGAATAAAAGCCGATAAACGGATATTTCAGATTACCTTACTTGGTTCTTGTGTATCTTATTCTTTTTTTCTTCTGTATGTTGATAAGTCCGTCTAAGTTAATGAAGTTCGTTATTGAATTCATGTCTGTTCACCACTAAAGAGTGTTTTGCTTTTTTTTTATTTTCATTTATTTTCTTTTATTTTCATTCTTTGCGCTTGTCTATTTGTCAGCTATTCTTTCTTCTCCATGTGATTTCATGATGTTTTACTGAATAGATACAAAAGAAAATATAAAGTAACTGAATGAAAGTTATCATCAAAGGTGACAATAATGCAGTACTACTTAACAATAATTAATTGAAGTGTACTTCTGAGATAATTTTTACTAACTTCTCTTGTGATTTATAATCTTTTAGTTCTTTATCGTGTGGATGAGTCAGATCGTATACCATTAAGTAGGGAAGTTACTTGATTCCAGCATTCGAAATACTTGTATTGACATAAAAAGCTACGATTATCAGCTGCAGTAAAAATAAGCAATAATAATTAGTTCGTATTGGCGATTGTCTTAGTTTCTTACATAAGACTTGTAACAGCTGACTGGCCACTTTGTTTGGGACGTATCCAATGAGTACTATGGTCAAACCTTGGCACTACCAACAATGGAATAACCTTGGGCACGTTACTAACGATTGTTTGTCCCAGATTGCTTACTCGATAGCATACTGATTAAGTTGTGACATATATCTACTCTCGTGATTAGCATGTGGTTAGTCACTATGTACGAAGAGTTCAAGTGATTGAGTGCCAGAAAATATTTCGTACATCCTGGAATAAGAAAACTTTAACAAAGAACATTTCAATGATTCAAATCTTAATCTTAAATTTTTTATGAAAGATGAAGTAGTCAAAAGACATTTTTTTAAAAAAGAAATCTGATTTTTCTTACTCTATTATGTATCTCTTCTTTCACATTTACAAGTGGATCAATATTTTTTTAAGGACATTATGTGGTAATATTTAGTCAATTCAAAGTGACGTCATTGTTTTGCTAGCAATCTTTTTTTAAATTCCATATTAGTGTCTAGGTATTACTTAAGACAATAAAAAACAACAAGCTTCTACCATATGCTATTGTTTTCTTTGTATCGATATCCTTTTACAAATGTCGAAGATCTACATAGATTTATTTTTGTCTATATATTTCTGTTTCACTTTACATTTCCCTCAATCTTCAAAATAAACATGCCAAACATTAGTGTCATTCCACTTGAGGGTAATAATAAAATGTTAAAAAGTATTCAATATAAAAAATTTCAAATACCGATCCTTGGAATTGCATTAATTCTTGGAACAATTATTGCTGCACTATGTGTTGTTGCTCTTGTCAAAATTAATAAGAAATTTTATGAGATTCCAGACAATAGTGAAAAACCAATTATCAATTCAAAAGTAATTCAACCATCATCTAACTCCATTTTGGGTGCATCTATTCGTATTGATGAAGTGGTGAGCTATCTTAATGAGCTTCAACGTATTGCCACTGTCTATAATGGGACTCGAGCCGACAGTACACCTGGATTCAATGCAACAGTGGACTATATCTACAACTATCTAACTGCTAACACGAATTACAAAGTGACAAAGAGTTTTTTTCGTGTTGCATCAGCAGCAATTGCTCGTATGCCCATTTTAATGTCATCAATTAATGGTACTATAACTAACCATACATTTGCGGCTACTCCATCAATTACCGAATTTTACCATATTCAGTATACGGCATCAGCAAACTTTTTAGATTACGTTGAACTCACTGTTATTCCAAACTTGGGTTGTTCAGATGATGATTGGCAAAAAGCGACTCCATCTTCTCAAGATCGAGTAGCATTAGTTAAACGAGGCAACTGTACTCAGGTGGAAAAAGCGACACTTGCTTCCAAATATAATGCTGCTGCTCTTCTTATATATAATGATGGTGAAGCACCTGATCGTATGGCACCTATGATTATTGCTCTTGAAGATAATAATAATTTGCCAGCACTTTTTCTTTCATTTCAACTCGGTCAAAAACTTGCTGATGCCGCCCGAATGAAATCAGGCAATGTTCGTATTCTAATCAACATTGTCCGACGCAATGAATCAACAGTTCCATCGACAAATATTTGTGCCGACACTCCAACAGGTGATGCTACACAAACCATTGTCATTGGTAGTCATAGTGATAGTGTAACAGCTGGACCAGGCATTAATGATAATGGTAAGTTTATTATTCAAATAATACTTCTTATATCACTTTCTTTCATTACAGGTAGTGGTAGTGCAGCCAATCTAGCTCTAGCTGTTGCTCTTGCTCGTCTTTTTCGAACATCAACGTATCCCAAATATAAATATCGAGTACGATTTTGTTGGTGGGGTGCTGAAGAACTGGGCCTTCTTGGTTCAGCCTTTCATGTCAAACAAGCGAAAAATTCTTCTATTATTGGTGAACGTCTTTCAGACTATTTGATTAATCTTAATTATGNTCTAGCTCTAGCTGTTGCTCTTGCTCGTCTTTTTCGAACATCAACGTATCCCAAATATAAATATCGAGTACGATTTTGTTGGTGGGGTGCTGAAGAACTGGGCCTTCTTGGTTCAGCCTTTCATGTCAAACAAGCGAAAAATTCTTCTATTATTGGTGAACGTCTTTCAGACTATTTGATTAATCTTAATTATGATATGATTGGTTCACCCAATTATATATTTGGTATTTACGATGGTCGTTCAGCCAATAATGACACTCCATCGCAAGCTCTTTCTGGTAGTAGCAAAATTACAGATTTGTTTCGCGATTGGTTTATTCGGCAGAACTTACCATGGGATTATACAGATTTTACTGGTCAAAGTGATTATGGTCCATTTTTAGCTGAAGGTATCGTTGCAGGTGGATTATTCTCTGGAGCTTACGGTGCCAAACCACAAAAACAACGTGATCGATATGATGAAATGCTTGGTCAAGGCTTAGGAGGTATCGCAGGTGTTGCCAGAGATCCTTGCTATCACAGACAATGTGATACGATTCAGAATATAAATGTATTAGGATATGAGAAGATGGTGAAAGCAGCTGCTTATGTTTTAGAAGTTTTAGGTCGAGAAGATGATTTAAAAACATGGTTGTACCCATCTATTGAAATTCAACGGCTCACTGCTCGATCGCAACAACGTTCACGGCCACAGTACAATTCGATTAACGAATATTTTGGATTGCCTTATTATTAATCAATTTTAGCATAGAGACGATTTGACATTATTATATTATTAAGAGAGAAAGTTTTCATGAGGATATGTTTTGATAATACTTACAACAGAAAACATCTTATAGTGATCTTTTCTTTCTTGAATTCTGCATCAAAAGTTCATATGTTGTAACACGTTGATCTCAAAAATTGCATATTGTCTGATGCTCGTTGAAATATCATTAGAGACGTCAAGATCTCTATATGATCCAAATTTTATCCGATTTTCGGTATAATGCTTCGTTCTGTCAAAGTAAAAATCGAATATGATAAACTATCTATGAACTTTGTTTTCATTGTGTCAATATAATGAAGCGAGACTAGATGCAGATCTTAGCAATGATTTATTACCGCTTGCAGTAATGATGATTCATCAGCAGCTGAACAGTTGCTCGTCGAACGATTACTCATGGACAAAGTGTGAGTGTAGATCTTCTCTTCATTCAAAGTCACACACTTACACTCAGACCTGGACAAAGCATGCATACAGAGAATGCTAAATATCAATATACATATGTATAGTATTTAAAAGAAACGCTAAGTAAAATGCGCCATAGTTTCTCAACAATTTCTCAATGTCAACAAATTGAATTAAGAAGTGTATCTTTCCACAATATTTAGAGCAAGACTAGATTTAAATTCAACAACAACTTACAGTAATAATAAAAAAATTTTCATCCACACAATAGGTACTAAGATTTTTTGTTATTTGTGCAATTACAAAGCTCAAAACCGACATTTAAAATGCTTCACACTCTCACCTGAGTTCAGATGCCATCTAGCTTGATCATTCAATGAATGAATGTTGAGTGTAAAGGTATGCAAATTTAAGTAACAAATAGAAAATTACTGAAATTCTATTTTGTTTTTTACGTTCAAATTGATAGCAGTGTTTCTGATTGTTACATGATGCTCATAAAGTTTCGTTTCTGTTTCTCTTTATCGTTATTCTCGCATAAAGCGTCCTCTGTATACAAATATATATCGTAGAGGTATATTTTTCTTCAATCATTAAACAGCATCAGCTGTAAATGATTCATTGAAAATAATGTCGAATAATGATTATCCATTTCAATGTCTATCTCAAGAAGCTCGGGAACTTTATCTAGAAAGTCGTATTTCACGTATTCGTGTTCCATCACCACTTGTTTTCTATCGAGATTATGTCAGTCGAAATAAACCCGTTATCATTCAAGGAGCACTTGATCAATGGTCTGCTTTATCGAAGTGGAATACTTCTGAATATTTACGTCATCAACTTGGTGATACACCAGTAACAATTGATATAACTCCTGATGGTTATGGAGATTGCGTTAAATTACATAAATATTTTGTTACACCATTAGAAGAAAAAATGCCTTTTAATCATTTCATGGATGTTATTGAAGGAAAAAAATCTTTTAATGGTATTGTTTATTGTCAACATCAAAATAGTTCGTTTACAACAGAATTTCAACAATTAAATAATGATATACATGAACTTAGTTGGGTACGAGAAGCATTTGGTTAGTTAGAATAGAATTATTTAATTTGATATTTTTCTTTTTTTTTCTTTTTGTATTTAAAGGAAATCCACCTGATGCTGTCAATCTTTGGATTGGTACATCAAAATCAATATCAACTCTTCATCATGATCCATATGAAAATCTTTATGCTGTTATGCGTGGTCGAAAACATTTTACACTTTATCCGCCAACAGATCTTTATTGGTTAGATCAAAAATTTTATAAAAAAGCTCATTATGAACGTTATAATTCTACACAAAAGATCATAGATAATGATGGTATTAATTTAAAAATGGATGAAAATTTTGTTATTGTACCTGATGATAATGAAGTTCCATGGTTTGATCATGATAAAAATGATCTTCAACAAAATTCTTATTTAAATCCATTAAAAATTACTCTTGAACCAAATGAACTTTTATATTTACCATCATTATGGTTTCATAGTGTTGAACAAGATTCACCAATGACAATAGCATGTAATTTTTGGTATGATATGGAATATGATATTAAATGGAATTATTATCAATTTATGTCAAATATTATTAAACAAACACGAAAATCAGAAGAAAAACGGGCATGACTTTTTGTTTTTGTTTTTGTTCGTAAATATCGGTGATTTTCTTCCGATAAAAGATAGGCTTCTTTTCTAACAAGAAAAATATATGTTCGCCTGTCTCGTTCTTCATTTCTTTTTTTATTTCTCATCGTTCAATAATAACGTAAAGAGGAAAGAAAGTAGGGAAGACAGAAAAAGAGAAAGAGAGAGAGAGAGAGAGAAAGGAATGTTAGGATAGTTGCTTTCTATTGAATTCATACTTAAATGCCGATTGTTAGTTTTTCTCTGTTGGCATTTGTGAAACGACGAGTGTGATCAACTATTGTCTCATTTAACGTAACGTGCTGCAAGAAAGATATGACGTTCAAAGGAATGTTAAAGATTTTAATCAACGATTATCGAAAACAACATGTAAGTCATCCTTGTTTAAGAGATAATTCATCTACCGAAAGTATATATTCATTTGAACCGTTTGCGAAAATAAGTTCAATTATACATACTTTCGAAAACATTCTTACTAAGACTTGAGGGCTACTTATTGGTCAAGTCAGACTCGCTCTTTAATTCAATATTGTTGTAGACTATTTAATGTTGTTGTTTTTAAGTCTATTATGGTTTATTCAGATGACTTTAACAACATTTATTGCAAAAACCTAAAGTGATTGACTTTTCCTAATGTTTTTCTTCAACCAGTTCAACAAAACCTGTGAATAGTTATTAAAAGCTATTCGGAAATAAGAGTTTGAATTTTTCATAATATCAAAATAGGATTAGTGTGACTTTTATTATTATTATTATTATTATTTTCTTAGGAGGAAAAGATGTTTTCTATTGTCCAAGAGCTTATGAAAACACGACGAGAATTACGAGAAGTCAAGGAACAACTTCGTGCTGTAAGTTACTCTTAGCAACTATTGCTTTTTTTTTTTTTTATCTAATCTCTTTTTTTTTTGTTAAGCTACAATTGAGTGAAACCAAAGCATTGTCTAGTAATGGAAATATTCCAATAGAGGCGATCAGTTTATTTGTTCAATATAATGGATTTTTCAATCAACTATGTGACATTCCTCAAACAATGACTGTTGGAGAACTATTGGTACGTGTTCAAACCTTATTGTTTTTCTTCTTAAACAAATAATTGTAAAATAGGCCAAACTTCGGCAATTAACCGGAATTCCATTTGATCGTCCAATACATATTCGCGTACTTAGTGAAGATGGTTTAACAACAGTATTTGTACTTCATAAAGAACTTAATCGAACATTACAATCATATAATGATTTTTTAAAAGCTCGAATGATTTTAAGTATTGAAGATAATGATCAAGAAAAACATTTAGAACGATCTTCAAGTACAACTAGTAGTGAACGAACTTATTCATTTGATGAATCTGATGTTTAATAAAGAAAACGAAAAAATTATGATTTTCATTGTATGCATCTGTTTTTTTTTCATTTCTATATATTGAAATATGCTGGTACATATTCTGAATTGTTTGTTCAATCAAATTTCTAAAATAAAATAAATGCAAAATGGGAAAACAATGACTTTTTTCGATTTCTGAATGTTCGTTTTGATAAAAATTGAAATGCAATTTAAATCCTTTAATTTTGTTCGTCAAACAAAGAAGAAAATACTAAAATTGAAAAACACTCAAAATCAAATGAGATCTTGATTGGTAACTGAAAAATAAAATGTCAAAAAATACGATTGTTCCAGGTTTGAGTCTTCTTATTGTGAAAACTATTTTCATTTGAATACAATGTTTGACAAGTTTAAATGAAAATTTGTTACCAATGGAAAATGCTCATTGGGTCATGAGCTATTATTTACTATTATTGTCCATACGATGATAAATAATACATATCAGTTGAAATGTACTACAATTTGTTAAAAGAGAAACAAAATTATTCTCCTTCAAAACAGATTACCATAAATAGAAATATCAGCCACTCTCATGAATGAAAATTTGAATTTCCTTAAACTCGAATTCAACACTTGACAGTTACATTTCACAATAGAGAGAAAAGACCGAACTAGCGCAATGCCACTTTCATCTTGAATGACATCGGCAATACACGATTGTTAAGTAATAGGAACCATTAGAATGCTATATTTTTTTGCTTCAAAATAATCAATGTTATATATATATAGTTCTAAAAAACGAGTATTCAGAATAAATATAATTCACATATCATTATACCATATGTTACAGTTATACATCAATAAAAACCTTAAGTTTTGTTTTTGATCCTTATATGCGTCGCCATCAGGTCCTCATTTTCATAAGAGTACTGAAAATTGAAAAAAAAACCAAGATTACTCGCCAAAACTAGAATGAATAAGAATGATTTTTAAAATATCAAGAAAATCAGGACTCGTTGGGACACATATATTTAACATAGATCAGTTTTCTCTACAATGTCAGACACATAACCAACATGCGTATAAAATGTCTTCAGGTGAGTATTCTTTCATGTGGCGGATTTCTTATTGATTCAGGATATATTTCAGACTGTACTGATTAATATATGTCATACAAAATTTGAGATTCTTCATAAAAATAATTTTTCTAGTTTTTATTTTAGAGACAATGAATAAACAGACTGACACTAGTTACACTTCTTCTGAATAGTACACAAAAAGACATTTTATTTTTCTGTATAAAAAGTAAAAAAAAAAAACTTTTTTTTATTTCTCTATCATTAATTTTCTTGTGTTTGCATTGTTTGTTGTTCTTCAATTCTTTTTATTGCTTCACTATTGTCTGTTTTTGCAAAATGAAAATCTATTCGATTTTTCTGATAAAAAATCGAATATCTTCCAGCAATATATGACACGATGGGTAAATTGAAACAAGTTACGATAATTGATAGAATCATTGAACGAGCACTAATACCATTTATTATTGATTGGTGTGTATAAAGAACAACGCCTATGAAAAGTAACAATGCACTAATAAATGTACTCAATGGCGTTAGATAAAAATATTGTCGACAATCATTATGTAAACCTGCTAGAAATATATTGATAGCTGAAAGCAATAAAAATATTGCACTAATTATTATTACAAATATAGCCAAAATATAATGATCATAATTTAATATACATTTAAAACGATTACATTTGTAAAACAGACCATGCCATTGAACTTCGCTATCTAATGAATATTCATTAATTGTCCATGAACTAGAAAAAGAAAGAAAAATAAATTGTTTTTTTTCTTTGTTTTAATGAAAAATGAATATCTATTTACTGACGGTGTACATAATGCAATAAAAGTGCAAACAAATGCAAATAGACAGAGAGATCCAGCAGTAATTGTCAAAATACGATCATATTTCTTTTCACATCGAACGACGGTCATCTTTCTTTCTTTCTTTTGAAAATATGTATATCGATGTTGTTTATGCAAGTATAAACGAATATTATATACGGCTTGTCCATTTTCCTTTGTATTCTCGAGAAGATAAAACGATGACCGATTGGATATTGAATAATACACGTCCAGAATGTGTCGTGTCTGAAAGAGAGAGAATGTCTTGTTTGTTATTGAAATTTAAAAATGGAAGCAAATAAATGAAAGAATTGATCACTGATACGAAAAAAAAAAATAATTGTTTTTTTTTGTTCGAATACTAACGAATCTTCGAACATATAATTTAATTTTCAATCACTGGTAAAATATATATTATTGTGTTCTGTCACAGGACAATTGGCTCTAATTCTCAAAAATTATTTCGCTTCATGTCTTGAAAAAGAATACAGCATTATAAAACAACAGAGATACAATAAAGTTTTCTATTCATAATCCTTCTGAATTAAGATTTAAGAATTACATATTCTGAAATATTTTTGATTTTCTGTAAGAGTACAACTAATCAGTTGAGTTTAAACTTTTACCAAAACTGTGCTATCGAAAAATGATCGAAGCTATGTTCGAGGAAAAAACTTTAGTCGGATTGGACAAAGTAAGACTGAGATCGTAAGCAAGTCCGATGGTTTTTTGTAGATCCCATAAAAAAATCCTGAAGACCTGCTTTTGAAACTTTTTTCATGGACATAGTTTCGATCATTTTCGATAATCTAGTTGTAGTAAAACTTTGAGCCTAACAGACACTACTCTTGCAAAGAATCAAAAAGGGTGGGATGCCCTTAAGCAGTCATTGATATCAAAACAATTTTTTATTCTTGACTTTGCCAAGAAATACAACAAAATGATTTCAGTTGACATCTTAAGAGTTTGTAGTAAACAAAATAAAGGCAATGCATTAGAAACTTGACGTTTTTTTTTTTTATATTCAACTTAATAAACAAAAACTAAATAAAAATAATGTATTTATCAAAAATAAACTTTTTTAAGAATCATCAAAGGTAAAATATTTAGTTAAATTAAATTTTGAAGTATTTAATAATAAAAATCATGCAGATACTTTTTGTAAAATAATATCAACATTTCTCTTGTAATCTTTCATTGATCGCTCATTTAACGTTTGACAATTGCCGTTTTTAATCCTTCTAGCTTAACGAGTACTTTAGTGAATGTCAAATGTGCTTCTGTAAAAAAAGAAAAATAACTACGATTATGTCATTCTTTGCTTTTGTTCAATCTGATGAAAGAATGACAATTTTTGTTCGTATTGTACATTGATAGAATCTGTTTAATACAAACTGTCATTGCATTGAATACGATCATCCTTTAGCTGTCCATCGTTTTGGATTGATAGAATACATATGCATTATCATTTGTTTGTTTATACATGTTGATGTTATATTTTTCTGTTATAATGATTTAATGAAAATCAGATTTAACATATCTATAAGACTTTAAATGCTAATATCAAGTTTACTCGTAACTATAAAAACCTATGTACATAAAAATGAATTTCTATTCGAATACGATACAAATTTTTTGATTAGATAAACTTCAAATAAGTTATAATAATCTCATCATACATTTCATTGCTTCTGCATACTATTATTTTCTTTTCGAAGTAAAAAAAAAAAAAAAAAGTAATTCAAGTAATTGACAACGATGACTATATTAAAAGATATATCATCTTATACATATATTTCGTTTTCTTCTTCAAATACGTACAATCTAAGCTTATGCATTCATTGTTAGTTCACGTATAGGTAGTATTTCTTTCCTTGTATATGTATGCGTACATCTTAAGATGATAGTCCATACCATATTTCTTATTTGGCAATGACTGAATGCTAGTTGGCAAGCCTGAATACACGCATCGAATTGTGTGTGTGTGTGTATGCGTATGTTCGTCTACTCCTATCTGATTTTGTTTCTTCTTTTCTTTTTTATTTGCTCAGACGCAAGTCTCTTCCCTTTTCTTCTTTACGTTTGTTCGGCAGCAGTGACGACGACTACTACCATCAGTGATTGATTGTGAAATTTGTTGTATGTGTTCTGTTCTTACTACTTTCTCTCTCTCTCTCTCTCTCTCTCTCTCTTTCCTTCTCTTCTTCTTCTACTTCTTTCTCTTTATACTCTCAAGTAGAATAACTAGCGATGCGCCAGTATGGACCTTCGAGTGTATGTTGATGGTGTTGCGCGCATCATCTGTGATTTGACCCGAACAACTACTGTTCACGATATTATTATTGCACTAGCTCAATATAAAGGTAAAACTGGTCGATATTCATTAATTGAACGTGCACCTAATGGTACACAACGAACATTATCACCAAATGAATTTACATATGAACTTATTAATCATCCTGATTGGTCTTATATATTAAGACAAAATTCATCAAATTCAGATTTGTCATATAATCAAAAACGTTCGAAAAGCTTAGATGGACGAAAGACACCTGTACAACAACAGTCAATTGTCGAGAGTATGTTGATATATTTTATTGCTTTATAGATACAGACAATGCGTGCATGTGTATATATATAAACGACCTTGGACGATAATACGATTCAATAAGGCACCATATTTTTGAAACAGGATAGACAAATACTATTGCACATATACCTTTTCTTCGTTTTTTCTTTTCTCATTTCTAATCATGAATCTATATGCCATAAATTTTCTTAAGATAAACGATGGCAACTAAAAGATGCTTGTATTTAGTTTTTCTTTTTTAATTTTCTGTTCTTAAGACTCTCTATTATTCACCCACTTATCTCGGTCCAATGCATTATTTTCATGTAAAAGTTCAAAGCAACATTATTATTATTATGATCCATTGATACCCATTTTTTCTTGTCTATCGAAGAGGTGGTACCATCAACATGTAATCATACGTGTACATACACATATATGCAGATCACTTAGCATCGAACAACATACATAGAGAGTATTCTTTCATCGATTGAACAACACGCGCAAATACAAAATGCCTATGGCAGAAAAAGAAGAATGAAGTTAATATCGAGCACCTTAGGTCTAATCGGCTTGTTACTTGTGTGTTCACTATAAAGATTAGTATAGCATATAAGACTCATTGATGAACAGCTGTTGTCGCTATATACATGTCGATCTAGGAATCTCAAACAAAAAAATATGACGTAATGTACGTGACAAATAAATATTCAAACTATTGCCATAGTACTTGATTGAACTTGCATTAGGCAAGATTAAGACAATATATAGAGTTCAAGTTGCAAAAAAATGATTCAAGTTTATTTCGTTATTCAAATAGAAACTATTCGATTACATCTTCTAATTAAAGATAAAAAATAGAAGATTAATTGTATGAAAACTTACTCCTTTTTTTCTTGTCTTTTAAATCAATCAAAAAAAGTCATTGACTAACAACAACAACTATGTACACAATCTACCTTGACACATATTCTAACATGTATAGCAGATAGTTGTTCATACATACATAGATACATACATACATACAATGTAAAGTTCATCTTTGCGCATGTGGAAACAAGAATAAAATGATAGTGACAGAAGGGAAGGTTAATGATGTAGGATGACGAAAGTAAATAATCATATAAAATGAACATAGATCAAATACATAGAACAATTTCTTTCCTTTTCAAAGAATACTAAACCATCCGCATCTTATTTTAGCACCTTCAGCTGTTACCTCATCATCCTCATCATCAACAAATTCAACATCTGGTCATTTTCGAACAGTAAATAATAAAAACAATAATGTCTTTGCAACATTATCATCATCATCATCATCATCAATAAAATCTTCAGAAAAAAAGAAACGTTCACATTTACGTCATATATTTCCATCAGCTAATGTAAATACTAACAATAATAATAATAATAATACCATAAATCCAAATGAATATTCATCACCAGTATCATTTATTATTGAACAGAAACGTTCATCACGTGCACCTATTCAAATAATTGAACAAGACTTAGGTATATTAGATAATCACCATATTGATCGTCGTTCAAGAACAAAATCTGCTTTACCACCATCATCTGTAAATGAAAATAGTGCGTTTCATATTGTTCATAATCCAATAAATAATCATACAAATTTACAACATCAACAACAACAATATATAGCTTTATTAAACATACTTAAATCACAAGAAATTCAAGTTGAACAACAACAAAAAGAACTGAATGAAAAACAAAAAGGTTCGAAAGAAACAAATATATATATATATATTTCATAAATTCTTTTTTAATTTTTAGAAATTGATTATCGAGAAAAAAATATTCATCAAAAAGATATTGGAAATCAATATCATTTACTTAAAGAATATGATTATCGTCTTACATCAGAATGTCAAATATATACAGAAGAATATTCGGTAAATGTAAATGAATTAGATAAAGAATTAGAAGTTGAAAAAAAATTACATTCAAATTATGAACATTTACAACAACAATTAACTCGTTGTTCAACAACATTAGAACAAAAACAACAATTACAAGAACAAATTCAATTAAATGTTGAAAAAACACATGAAGATATTGAACAAATACAATCAAATATTAATAATGATAAAAAGGTTTGAATTATAACATAGATGAAAATCACAATCTTTTTGCAGAAATTAAATATTAAAAAAAAGGATTAGTTTGATAGTTGTTCGCTTATGATATAAAACGTAGTAGATGTCAGTCAGTATGCTCTTCACTGAAATTCGACGATCTTCATTTCGATGACCGTGTCAATGAGTGATATTTCGAAATGATACCTACAGTATATATATATATATATATATATATGAATATTCAGAACGACTGAATGCAAGAAATGATCGCCGGAACGACACTCATGAACATATATGATCGAAAGGAAATCTGTCATCTTTATTCAGATGAACTTGATATTGATAGTTTCAGTTTCGGTAATGAGGTTCACGATAGATGACGACTAAGATAAATTTGTATAACTTTAAGCCTAGAAGATAGA